GAGACGTAAGCACTATCCGCACTGAAGCCACTCATTTCAACTACAGTGCACTCCATAGCTATACATACACTGTAGTTGTAGAGAGACGTAAGCACTATCCGCACTCGAGCACTCATTTTAACTACAGTGCACTCCATAGCTATACGTACACTGTAGTCGTAGAGAGACCTAAGCACTATCCGTACTCAAGCCACTCATTTTAACTACAGTGCACCCTATAGCTATACGTACACTGTAGTCGTAGAGAGACGTAAGCACTATCCGCACTGAAGCCACTCATTTCAACTACAGTGCACTCCATAGCTATACATACACTGTAGTTGTAGAGAGACGCAAGCACTATCCGCACTCGCGCACTCATTTTAACTACAGTGCACTCCATAGCTATACGTACACTGTAGTCGTAGAGAGACCTAAGCACTATCCGTACTCAAGCCACTCATTTTAACTACAGTGCACCCTATACCTATACGTACACTGTAGTCGTAGAGAGACGTAAGCACTATCTGCACTGAAGCCACTCATTTCAACTACAGTGCACCTATAGCTATACATACACTGTAGTCGTAGAGAGACGTAAGCACTATCCACACTGAAGCCACTCATTTCAACTACAGTGCACCTATAGTTATACGTACACTGTAGTTGTAGAGAGATGTAAACACTATCCGCACTGAAGCTACTTATTTTAACTACAGCGCACCTATAGCTATACGTACACTGTAATTGTAGAGAGACGTAAGCACTATCCGCACTGAAGCCACTCATTTCAACTACAGTGCACTCCATAGCTATACGTACACTGTAGTCGTAGAGAGACGCAAGCACTATCCGTACTCAAGCCACTCATTTTAACTACAATGCACTCCATAGCCATACATACGCCGTAGTTGTAGAGAGACGTAAGCACTATCCGCACTGAAGCCACTTATTTTAACTACAGTGCATCCATAGTTATACGTACACTGTAGTCGTAGAGAGACGTAAGCACTATCCGCACTCAAGCCACTCATTTTAACTACAATGCACTCCATAGCCATACATACGCCGTAGTTGTAGAGAGACGTAAGCACTATCCGCACTGAAGCCACTTATTTTAACTACAGTGCATCCATAGCTATACGTACACTGTAGTCGTAGAGAGACGCAAGCACTATCCGTACTCAAGCCACTCATTTTAACTACAATGCACTCCATAGCCATACATACGCCGTAGTTGTAGAGAGACGTAAGCACTATCCGCACTGAAGCCACTTATTTTAACTACAGTGCATCCATAGTTATACGTACACTGTAGTCGTAGAGAGACGTAAGCACTATCCGCACTGAAGCCACTCATTTTAACTACAGTGCACCCCATATATGTACACTATCTGTAAAGTGTAGCTATGCATAATTGTAGAAAGGGATATAGACCCACACTGTATGCAGACACTGCTGGCATGCATCAAAATGGAATGAGATGGTGATATCAGCTTAAATGTTAGTGTATAGGGATAATAAGTTGGGAACATGCATAAATTAAACAACACAAAACATAAGTATTATTATACAAGTGAGAAAAACACAAATAAATGATACAAGATAAAAAACAAATTACAACTCGTTAGAGGTGCTTCACATCCATTAATGGAGTTGTGCAACAGGAAAATCTGAGATGATCACCAACATTTTTGGATGTGAAGTGTACATGCAGTGAAATCATACCTGACGGTGTTCGTGTCCAGCAGTGGAGTATACATGCGATGGGTAAGCTTTGTCGCAATCATCATTAACATTGACACTGACAGGATAGGATGTGGCTGAGGAGGTGGTACGAGTACAAAATCTTTGTGCTAATGCTTCGAGGGCAATCCTTTCCTTGTCAGTGGTATTGTCAATTACCTTGCTATCAATACTGGAACCACTACTGATAGAGCTCTGACTGCAGCTACCTGGAGACATAGCCTGCTCCTTGTGTTGTCCTGGAAATACAAAGATACTATATTTATTAGTGATTTACGCAGAATTGGTTAATTATGGTTTAAACTGGAATCTTTTCAGGGGATGCATTTTATCATTTATTATAATTTGTAATCAACATAATGACATCACTTAGTACCAAAGAAAAACAGATTTGAAAATACAGGCTTTGAATGACATGATTATGCATAACATTGTAACGCCTTCTTTGAGGGCCTGACAAAAACTTGTTTGTCTACATTGCATAACCTATATATTTACTATAGTCTGTTAAGGCAAGTGTGTTATTACTTAGTAATGACCTGTCCACATGGATTTTTTTACTTGCCTCAGGCTATAGTACTACCCTTAGTGTCTAGCCCTGCTTTCTATAACTATTCTATTATTTTCCATTGGTTACAGAATTTGAACACTATTTCTCCCAAAACATGGTATTTAAGCAGTTTAAACAAGGCCTTAATAGATAGGAAATTCATTTTTTAGCTTCTAAAGATAAGTACAGGCCATGTGACCTAGGACCCTGTGTTTGGGATCAATATCGCATAGATGCTTGACTCATGAAAAATGCGGAAACTTCTCTCTCATGAAACTAGAGTAGTTTATGGTATTTCCCATTCAGAGGAGAATTAGGTCAAGGTAGCAAAACAAGGCAATTAACACAAATTACACACATAACTGAACATAAAGATAGACACCAAACTTGGGTCACAAACAAACAACTCTAACAATACTCTTAGAGCCGGGTGAACACACAAAATAAACTGCATCGTGACAAAAAAAAACGAAAATGGGGAAAAAAAAAATTATACCTGGAAGGAAGCTGTGAGGGTAATTACCAAGAAAGTTGTGCCCAGTACCCACTTCAAGTTTAGGACCTATATCAACAAAGAAAAAAAGAAAAATAAAATAACATAAACACAAAAAAACAGAACAAGCTATGGTCACAAAAACAAGTACTGAGGTTTATTTCATGGACATTGGACATTGCAGTGACTTTTTAAACCCCACACATGCAAAAATTTGCAAGAACAATGGTAATTGCATATGCATATGCTAATTAGTTTCTATTCATATGCAAATTCTCCACACTAAGCAGGAAAGAATACTGAGCAATTCCCTCCAGGCTAAACAAGTACATAAGTAAACATGTTGGCCAATTATAAGTAGCCTGAAGTTTCAAATCACATTCTTACCATACGCACAAGATAATCTGTGTTTTGCGCAATCATGTTTTATCATTCGTTTTGAAATCTAAATGACGAAATTTGCTGCATATTTAATCTTCACAGGATTTTCACAGATATTCTATGAAAACAGTTCAATTTAAACAATTGCTTATGGTTTTTGTAATACAGACATGCGTAACTGTATATCAGCTGATTCTCAGCAGCTTGACTTACGAACATTTTCACGCTCGACTGAGAGGATATTTGCAATGAAAAAAAAAACTACTCTGGTAGTTCTTGTCACATCTGACATAGTTACACCTCAGTGTTCCCACCTAAATGACCAAGCAAGACAGTGAATTTGCATATTAATATTATCTACTTAGCATATTAATATCCTCTATTTTTATTCTTGAATATTCTAGCACTTCATTTTCCAGTACTAGTCAAATATGGTTATATCTACAATTCCTGGAGAGAACTTATCATGTTTGACAATTATCTTCCCTCTAATTTCATGAGCCAGTAAAACACAGCATTTTGTATTGTACAAGACTAAAATTAGATTGTGTCAATCCCAGAAGTTGTGATATCTACTGAATTGATGATTACGGTACCATATTATCTCTATTAAAATTGTATCACTAAAGCTTATCATAAATATAACACATAAACCAAAAATTGCATTTATTCTGTGCTGGATTGTATTACTTATTTTGACCACAGACACTTACATAAGTGTATTGCACTACAAATACAGCAAAATATGGTATTCAGTTACTATGGACGACTCAAATCTTAATCGTAAAATAATTGTGGGGGTGGCTTATCGCCACTCCAGGCGATAATGTAACAGTGTGCGAAAACGTAGACCATGAACATGCGTACAAGAAGAGTGGAGCATAGAACACAGAAATAGATAAATTAACGCGCTAAATCAGAACAATATTTAGAACCTATAGCCTCTGAATTGATGAATAGTCTTTGATTGAATTAACCCTTGCTTGTGAGGCCCTTTAAAATTAGAAGAAAAAAACTTATTTTAGGAGAAGAGAACTGGGGGCCCCTTTTATTTCAAGAAACACTCTAACACATTTTCCGTTTCTCTGCACCATTTACATCGCAACACGAAAACTCAATCCCCATCGCTTATTCATTTAGTACGAGAAAAGTGACATGTCACAGCTATAGAGAGCACGGGGAGTGAGGTGACAGTTGCACTCCGAGCCCAATGGTGACAGTTGCTCTGTGAGACACAACGGACAAACAAGTAATAATTAGACACAGCTTGCATGGAAAGATATATCAATAAAACATGAGCCACAGAGGCCAACACACTGTGACATGCATGCGCATACTGAATAGCAGAGAAAAATTGAAGATAAATTTTGAAAGAAGAAGGGCATAATTTCTTCAAAGCGACATGACAATTAAGGAAGTAAGATATATGCGAGTGTCTGGGTCCTGATTCAAGTCACTACAAGGTTATAGAGGTCATACAAATTACTTCATTTGCTTTCATAATACACAATTGCATTTTAATATATAAATGCTTCAAGAACCTAGAGATGAATAATAAAAAAAAAACATTTCTGAGAAATCTGATTGAGCAGTGGGGAGTTATTATGTAAGTGTCAATTTAATTGACGTTCATAGATAAATGTGGCATGCACCTCAGCACACTAAAACATAGATTCATAGCCACATACTGTTTTAGTTGATTTATTCACCATGTATTTTTGCTAATGTTAATCCGTAGCTGATTAACCAACAAAGCCTATTCTTGTGAGGAGATTTGTGGAATTTCAGCTAAATTCTTGTTCTGCTATGCTTTGTGCATTCAGCTAAATTTGTTAAAATTGCGTGAAGCTATTTTAAAATGTTTCATGTTTCAATCAAGAAAAGGCAACTTGAAAATCACATTGAGACATTCGCATACATTACTACTGCTGTGTCGTGTCTGTTAAGTCAGTGTTTTAAATCAAATATTGTCCTGGGGGTGGATGTGAGGTGCAGAGTGGTGGGTTTCTTTCTGTCTTAAGGCCATGACTTTATGATGGTTGAAATGAGTGTAGAAACTTACCTAACATGCGTTCCAATTCAGTTTTCTGTTTCAGTTGGCGAGCTTGGCGTATTGCTTCAGACACCATGTCCGGTTCATGAACTATATAACGCTTTGGCGATGTAACCTGCGGCACTTTTGACAAATCCGCGGTTGTACTGGCAAGTTTTGGAGAAGTCACACTGGCAGTGGTTGTTGTTATATTGTCAGAGTCATTAACTTTGGATGGTTTTGAAAGATTCAGTGGCTGTGGATTTGTGAGGAGGCTTTGGAGTGCGCTCTTAGCTCCTCCAAGAGTTGAGGGGATTGCTTGTGGTGTCGGAGTGACGCTTGGTATTGTTAACAAGCCCTGAGGGTGACTACGAAATCCCATCGGCGTAGTTGTCACAGGTGCATGTTCTGAGAACCGAGTGAGCGATGCGCAGGATATAGCATTTTTTGATTTGTCAATGATAACCCCTGATGGACGCTGATCCATCTTAGGAGATGGTTGAGGGCGTACAAGCATGTTCTGGTGTACACCGTCTGGCAGTACTCCTAGGGAGGCCGCATGTCCTATGTCAGACGGATACACAGGAATCAGTCGGACATATGGACTGGGAGAGTTCTGTGTGGACTCTTGTATCTGTTGCTGCAGAACCTGTATTTTCTGTTGCTGCTGCAGTAATTGCTGTTGTTGCATCTGTATCATTTCTTGTTGTTGTCGTTGAATTTCAATCTGCTGTTGCTGTTTCTGCAGCTGATCTTTCTGTAGCTCATTGTTCTCCTGCTGTTGGGCCAGCAACTGTTCTCGTAAACCTTGCAGTTGGTGAATCATCCCCTCAAGTTGCCGTTCCCTTTGTCGTATGGAATCATTAACTACTTGCTGCTCTTTATTACGAAACCCATTCTCGGCAGTGTTACCATCAACGTCGTCATGTTTCTCACGGTTATTCATAATTCGGTGTATGTTACCGCTATCTGGCATATCGATACCTATTCTTGTTACTCCTTCCTCGTTAGAATCCAACTTTTCTCTTTTCACTGGAAGTTCGGTGTCATTAGCAATGCCGTGTTTAGTTGCCATAGCAACTCTGTAAAAAGAGAAGAGAAAGACTGACTGTAAATAAATCAAATCAAACCACAATCATGGCAACTTATTTTTATTTAAAACAGTGTTAGATTCAATTTATGAGCACAAATTGTTTAAATTAGATATTTCACAAGTAAGGAAGGACAGAAAATTGTTTGTGGTCATAAAACAACAAAATATAGAAATATTGATTTGGGGGGAGGCTGAAAAAAGATGTAGATTTTTCAAATAAATTATGAAAAAATTAAAAAAAAAATTATTTTATATTATTCTGTTACAAAGAGGTGTTTTGACTAATAGCTATTACTTAGGGGGGCTTGAGACAATCTTTTATTTCACACTCACTCCCATTTTCTAAGATTGCTTGAAAAAAGATTTTGGTTGCCCCGACAACTTATGAAAGGACTGTGAAAGGTTCATTGTTAGCGCTCCTTTACAAAACACTCTTAAGAAACAAGTAACAATGGTGCTTTGTATGAGGTACACTTTTTTCCACTCTGTATTGGCTCATAGCTAAGGATGTCAATTCGTCTTGTGAGCACAATGGCACACTTATATTGTTTACAGGCGGCAACAAACACACATGGTATGTGGTACCCACTCCTCCAGGCATCATTACATCCGGTCGTATAATGTGAACGTTGCAATGCTATGCTTAATCCAAATCAACAGACGTTTGGAAAAAAAAAAAACATAAAGATAAAGTTCAGTCTGGTATAAAACAAAACAAAAATAAAAGTGTGCTGCTAAAAATCATTCATGGAGAGTTGGATGTTTGACAACTGAATTTTTGTGGACATTCCATCAGAGAGGAGGAGCAGTCGGACAAGCATTATAAATTCATATCAAAGCAAACACTCGACAATAATAAAAAATAATAAAAAAAATATTAGATTAATTAACATAGACATTTTTATTGCCTGTTAGCCATGATTGCATTTTTTCCCTCCTAGTACTAGTAGTAGCTTAGTTAACAGCAGAAATTATTGGCTTCGTTAAGCATTTTTCAAGCAATTTTGAAAACAATAACACGAAAGCTACAAATTATGTATTCAATAAATTTACAATTACTTCCTTCTTAAAATGTTAATGAAAAACACACACGAATGATGTGAGAATCAGACCACATAGCACTACCATGCTGGTATGAGTACGGACGGGAAATAAATCACTATTCAAAGAAGGTGAATGCTGACAATATTACATTTTTATTACTGGCAACTGACAAGTTTAAGAGATTAGCTAACCAACATTATTTATATTGTTTTCTGCTTCCCAAATATGAAATATTGAGATGAAGGTGAGAAAGCCTTTAAGCTGCACATTGTTTCGTACATAATTTGATATGAACGTGAGCAGTAGACCGTTGTAAAGTACATGCCACCGAACACTATAGAACAATCACTGTGTCTTGAAAATGGAATCACTGAACTGGATCAACACACTAAAATCAATCTAAATTTAAGCAAACCAGTGAACACCAACCTCTACTAAGAATGGAATATGCCATGAATGAGGCACAGAATGACTTTCTACAGATGGGAGGGGGTGTATGCAAACTGACTGTACATCCTGATTATCATAACACAGTTATTACTTTTATCACATTTTGCACTCTAATGAATGTACATAATTTGTTTATTGTCCCTTCACTAAAGCAATTTACATAATCATCGAGCACATCCTCTACCCCTGTAATCACTAATGGTTGCTCCCAGACCGCATCTTCTTCTGGCATCTGCATCTGAAGTCCTTTAATAAAATGGCCATGAAGATAGGACAATAGGAAGTGCATAATGATGATGACACATAATAGACCTTGTGTTATCGGGTTGACCTCTACGCTTCCGCTTGTTTGACCCCTACAACTCCCTGATGTCAATTTAAATAGCTTCACTCTTTGGTTGTACACATGCGGGCAGGACCTAGACACAATCTACCATTGGAAGACTCCACATTATTATTCTCAATAATTTGAATACTGTTCAGGAATGCACATATAACAACAGTTGCTTCATTTCTCTATTTTTTCATTTTCTGATTTTCGGGTTTTGTTTTTAGAGGAAGTTAGGGGGTAAAATAAGCTTGTTAAAATTACCTTAATTATGAGGCATAGATATACATACACAATTAATTGTAGACTGAATTATAAGTACATGCATGTACAATTAGTGTTGACTGCTATAACATAGCAATCAGATAACAACAAACAAATCATGATTTGTTGTTTGTCTCAACACTGATGGACACGCTCTGTGGAAGAAAGAAACACATGCTCACTGCATCACTGTGCCGGGGGCCCCCCTTTTTTTTCTAAAGAAAACGGAGGTTTTGTACTACGGTACTTGGATTGGCTCGTGTATGAGAATGTACACACATGCCTTTGTATGCTTTTGATCAATTGTTAAAACCTTCCGGACTGACTGCCTGTGTGCTTGTTCAGTGATAACACTCACTCGATGGCGATGAAGAGTACACAGAACTGTGGCGGTTCCTCGATAGGTGGATTTTCCGGCATATCAGATTGCTGATTTCTTCATAACTATGACGTAGACACCCATGTCACCTGGGTACAAGGTACAAAAACGCAGGTGACAAAAATGTCTGGGTATAATATAGTTGGTGGTTTGTCAGCTCTCAAGTGTTTTCAGCACACAGGGGAGATTTCTACAGCTACTGCATGTAATGAAATGTGCTCAATTACAACCAAATTGAAGGAGATATCAAACAGAAATAGGATCTCTGAGATTCCCTGGCTAGTCAAGGTGATAGGCATGATCATGAACTGAAATCGGCAAATTTCCAATGAAAATAAAAAGAAACTACCGGTAATAATAACAGTATTCACAGAGCTGCCGAAAAAAAATTACAGCAGCTATTATAATGGTGAAAGACAACCAAGGTAACTAGCCGGATGAAGGATGATAACCAACATGCTTTTGGCTGTAGGCAAATCAGTCAACCTCTCAAAAATCCAAAAGTAATGCAAATAAAAATATTAATAAAATATTGTTTCAAAAATTATTTATGAGGTCAAAATCCGCAACACTAGACCTTTAGCATCTGTGTTAAACAATTCTTTACAAAGAAAGTTACCTTGCATAATATGTAAGCTTTTACATTGAATTGTGGGGGGAAACATTGTGCACTGTCAGACACAGTGGGAGATATTGTGCATCTTTGGGTAATTAGAAAGTCTTGAATCAGGCATTATCTCTCAGTAATTGTCTATCACATGAATCCTTCATGTCCACAGAGAGAATCTCGCCTCACATTGGAAGAGCATGGACTGTCTTCTCTGTCATAACGAGGAAAGTATTAATATTTACATCTAGCAAAACATGATGAAAAGCCAAAATTAAATGATCAGTGGTTTTTTTCCAAAGAAAGAATGTCTATTGTTATTGGGTAAAACTTTAATTGAGTGAAATTTGAATACATTCTTGACAAATTAATCAATCGGCAGTGTGATGGAATTTTAATTTAATCAGCAGCGCTCGGCTGATATTTACTACACGATGAATGAACAATGACACGTCAGAATACTTAGAATTATTTAAAACCAAAACTTTCATACAGATATGTTATTAAAGTGCATCTGCTCATAATGGAAATTGAAATTTAACGAGGCTCATGTAAAATTTTAACTAAATAGCACTCCAGGGAAACGCTATACCGGAAAAAATTACTAATATTATGTGCGATCTGTTTAATTGAAAAGCATGATGGCTACTTGCCTGCCCTTGGGGAAAGTTTTTTTTTTTTTCGTATTTCTATACTAAACCAGAGAAGACATTTATAATTATTAATAGAGGTCACATAGAGTGACCTCCGTATATAAGTTACAAATGATGTACATTGTGCTTTCACTTAAAGTCGATGTAATTTGCATAACACAAGGTAACAGAAATTAGCATACCTTATATGGAGCAAATGAGTGGCCATTATTACGCTTGATTTGCATGAAAATAAGATTACTTGTCATTCTTGACCTATCTCATTAAAAACACAGATAGGGTTAAGATTTGTTTTGGTCTGAAAAGAATTTCGTCAGTTTTGTGAAGACGATAATTCTACTATTCCAAATAATGAGGAAGTATGAATATAAATAGTCGCGGCTTATCAGATGGAGTCTCTGAAAACTTTGTATTAATTTAAAATAAAAAAATATTAGAAAAAAAGAAACATCTTGAAATTTGTGAAGCGTACTCGAAGTGCTACAACTACAGTCAATATTCACAACTAATACATACGACGCCGTTACTTTTGCTGTCGTCTATAAATTCTGCAAAATAAGTACTACTCCTTAAAGAAGGCTTGTATGTAATTCCCAGGTGTACATAACAAATACTGTCACCTGTGAGCACTCAGGGATTTCTCAGAATCTCAACTCGTGCATTGTCAAACATGGAACAATATGCAAATGAGTTAAATTATGTAAGAGAGAGAGAGGTGACAGGAATTTTATGCTCCGCCATCAATTTCCTTTCCAGTTACATGAGGAAAGAAGGTATTGTCGACCAACACAATGCGGAGGTGAGCAGCCATTGTGTAGTCTTGACCTTGAGGAATGGCAGCTCCTTCATGGAATAGAAACTGACGCACACAAGAGGTGCCACGCTGACATCTTCTAAGGAAATGAAAACACGTCTGGTGTATGATTTATGGACTTTCTGATGCCTTATGACATTATGATTGCCACCTCTCTATCACAATTATGTACGTTTATAAGCATGCATAGTAAAACAACATCAAATATAGGAAAGCCTTGTCTGTTTTTTCTTATATTTGTTGGAGATCAGCTTCCAACATAAAAACTTTACGGGGAAAAATTTAAAAAAAAATGTTGTAGTCATTATGTGATTATTCAACTTATTCTAATCTCTCAAAAATATGAGAAAAAAATGTTTAACTTGATGCTGACTTTTTTAAAAAATATTGCAGTTGTCATCCATTCAGTTAAATTAGTAAATCAGAGAAGCTGATAAACTACTCCATGACAGTGCCAAGTTACATTGAAGGCATCAATCCATTTGACACAGCCATAAACCACAAATATTTTAAGGCACTGCATGAACACATTACGGAAATGAAACTTAACCCGGGGAGTGTTCATTCATTGAAACCATAAAAGAATGACAGTTGTTTTTAAGTGAAGGGAATTGAAATAATAGAGTGGACAGACAAACATCCAGACAGTTGTGTGCACCGCTAGACAGCATGGCAGTGTAACACCATGAAAACAAATACAATTGGACAACACATTGACAATCAGGCATGAAACTTGCATGCTGGCTAAAACCTACAATTGACAGTGTCGATTTCTGTCATGTCAAAGCGACAATCGCCGGGAAGAGAGAGAGATGGAAGTATTAAACTTTGGTACGTATAGATATAGACGGATGATGACATCACACACGAGTACAGCAAATATTGAACAAAATGGGGGGAGGGCAGCACATGACACTGTATCAACAAACACTTGGGTAATATGGGAAAAATACCAGATGACACCTCAAATATGGTCTTACCTGAGATATGCTGAATGACAACTCAGTTGTTGAGATTAGAACAATGTTGAACAGAGCACAAACACATAATATTCTCTCAGCGTCAACATTTGGCAGTGTGGTTTTTCGCTGGGAGACCGATTGTGACTGTTTGCACTCAGGACTCTAGGAGCCGTCAATAGAGTTGGCAGTCAGTCAGCTAAGCAAGGTATTGTTAGGGAAATCTCTAATAGTTTATGCATAAAATGAAATCACCAGCCTATTCACTGCTATAAGGCAGCTCCATTCTAAACACACCACAACAAAGGCCGGCCTCAATTTGAAAAAGCCTCTTTTGTGTTGCTTCAACAATGAGGGTAGAAAACATAAAAAACATCCTTTATAGCGACGTGCAGATGTGATCACGCAGACATCATGTAAAAACACTACTTTTTATCATCAAGATTATGCACGCTATGGGGCAAAATGAAAATGAATAAAAGCTTTCTTCAATTTTTTTATCTCTTGTTGGCGCAGCATAATGAATAATCTTGCCACTCTCAACCTACCCACCCCTACAAATTGGAATGGACGGGTCCAGCTTGAATGTGTTACTTATTCACTGCCTCTCCCATTCAAAGGCAAACAATACCTCCTATAGTAAGGGCATTGTCGCAGGGGTCAAAGGCGAGTAGCCAGAATGCCTTGCAAGGCATGCCAACTATTCTCATTACACCACTGACTGGATAAATTGTCTGACATCAATACACATTCAGACACTCTCTTGCTATGTCTTTTGCGGCTCCAATATTTATGTTGATTTCACAATACCATTGTATATGCGGTTTCCAACAGCCGCTATATTGAAACGAGGCTCATGTACATTCATGAAAAAATAAAACAAACAAAAAACAGCCATCTTCATTCTCATTTTTCATCCCAACTGTTTTTTCATCCTCATTTTTAAAAAGTGTTCTTAATTTAAAGATGAATTTCAGTGCAGCATGTCAGTGTCTTCATTACAAACTCCAGAATAGATTATTAGCTAAACTACACTGGAGCTGTTGCATGAAATATAATAACACAGGCGTGAATGGGCAGCAGAGTTGAGAGAAAGAAAAAAAGATGAAAAACAACAGGCATAATTAGTCATTCTATTGTTTTCTGTTCTATTATTTTCTCTATTGTTACTCTGTTAGTGTCAAAAGAAATCTATTATTAGACTCTACTGATTGTTCTCTGTACTGATCACAAAGAAAACTTGGATAGTTGAATAAAACAAAGTAATTCCATTGAATTTTAAATCCAAGCTTTCATTGGATAAATATCTACATGAATTAATATTTAAGAGGAGTGAGAACAAACAAATGTAATATTTATAATACAGCTCTGACAATACCACACATACCATCACCATCATGAAAGTATTACAATTAATATCTATTATTTCTTTAGATAATAATTTGAATAACTATTTGCTATACAAATTACAATAAAGTCAAAGAAGGTCCACACTTATTTCATGAGATATTTTTTCTCAATTTTCAAAAGTCAGTGAAAATTATGACTTTTTGTACAATATCTGGAAAAACTACATCTACTGATGTGTTGTAAATGGAATCGCAGTCACTCTACCGAGTAGAGTGACTGTGATGGAATGCAAAGAAACTATATTTTCTCAATTTTATTTTTACTGATTTAAATGGAAAAATAAACTTCACAATTTGCAATGTGGTGTTTTTATTTCATGTTCGGTACAACCCCCTAGTCCAGACGGTCGTGAACTGGTTACCATTGTCAGACATCAATCTGAGGGTACCATATGTGGGCTCATGAAATAGAGGGCAGTATTATGGATCACTAATAGCCAATCAGAACCTATCATTCTGTTGCATGTAAATCTTTACAAGTTATTTAACCATTTGAATATCATAATAATTCACACCAAAATTTCAGTGCAACATTTTGTACATTTTATGTATTTTTATAAAATTTCTAAAGTTAATTTGTTCCCAATGGTCTTGAAAAATATTTTAGAAAATTTATATATAAAAAATATCACGTGAATTGGATAGAAGTTTACGGTTCTCAAAATACATTCAGTATGTATGTACTGTTGATAAGCTGCATTGATAATTAAATTGATATGCTAATTAATTCATTTATATGCATATATTTAATTTATAACAATAAATCTTAATCACAATCTTATTTTCAGGGCTCTGTAAAGGGATCAAAAGAAGGTGGAGAATATATTTACAAGAAACAAAGGTTCACTAAAATAACAATTAAAGAACAGTATCATCGAATTAATAAAAGAAAATACATTACAGAGACTTTTTTTTTTTTTTGAATTTTTTTATTGGAGCTGCATTTTGAATGATACATTTCAGATGTTATGTGTTAATAACTTTTTCTATATTTACATTCAACTCATTAAAAATCAGTGAAAATAAACTCCATACAAAACAACCAAAAAGTCTTTTCAGCAAAAATTAATTGCAGCTAAAATAAAATATTTTACAGTAACTAGTTATTGAGAGTAATGGATTTTCATTTATGACCAATGCTTCTAAGACAGGTGGGTTAAAGACACTAGTTTCTGACTGAGTATATCTGCCAGTGTACTTGAATAAATTACCAAATCCCCTTTGGTACTCATTCTATTGGTATATAGTCCCATTGACACCTTTTCTGTCAGGCCTATGTATCACTGCCTTGGGTAGATAAGATAATGCCTATTGTCTTGAGTTCTCAGAATTCTGAAATTGTCTTTTGTTTATCATTAATTGTAATCTAAATTCTAAAAGTCTATTTGCGCTGTATCTAATCTGAGAAATGACACAGGAATTTGGTTGTGGTAAATAAAGTTAACAGAACTGATCAGTAGCTTTATTAAGTTACAGCTGTAAATACGATGTCACAACAAACTCGACAGATTAAATTACACTGGAAAACAAAAGCCAGATTAACCCTTCGAAGGCCATAATTTTTCCACACCAAAAATCTCTTGCAACATTTCACACATTTGTATGTATTTTTCTATCATCTATTGCTTTATTTTTAACCAAATGAGCATAATATTCAAAAAATAATTATTTTAAGAAATTAAAGTAAAAAAAAAATGACAACATGTTAAAGGTAAATAAAGACAATGCTATCCCACAATTCAATAGTTAAACCTCAGGATTGACAGCCCTCTTTTAATCAATTAGATCATAAGAACAAGTAGAAAAAAAACATCAATATTAAGAGAAATGATATTTACATACTTTAGGATCACTGTCTGAATGCCACCATTTATCAAATTCACTTATTAACGGTTAATGGAGGCTAATAAATCGAACGCTTTCTTATAACTGTAAGATTTGGAGAACAGGAGAGAAAAGTAAAATCTTTATATGGAGCTTCCATCTTCTAAAAAAGACATTAATAATTTTGCAAGAAACAAAGTTGCAGGTCAGGGGAAAATCGTAAATAGCATAGCAGTGAATATTCCACTGATCCTTGTGGGTAATTAAAGCAAGTGTAATAATCTCCTTGGTTACCATTCAACTTAACTCCCACTAAATGACAGTTCGCAAGTGCCTAAAAAAATTAAACATTAAAAACAACCTCACATCAGGGAGGTTCTGGGTTTGATTCCCGGAGCCGACTATTTACTCAGCACTATAAAACAGAGCACAGTCAGCCCTACCTTCCAAACTCACGGAATTAGGTTTAGGAGACTAGTTTAGAAGCATACACTTGCAATTAACATCTAAGACAACATTTCTAGCTGCAAATAACTGTTTATGGTAGTCTTTGCTATCATGGAAGCCAAATCATGCAAGATTTCATCCATTTCTGACAATGATAAACAAGAAATGTGATATCATCTAGCAGAAGATGATGAACAACCAGAAGAGAACTGTAGAAATGTCTAACAACAAAAATCAAATCATTCAGCAGGGAATGGTGACTATTATTGATTGCTAGATCCCACTGAACAACTTATGAAGATTTTCATTATTACAGGCAATATTTAAATTACGTCATTATTATGCATGACTTGTAAGAGTAATATGAAGACACTACAACAGGTTTGACGAAAGGTAATATGTAAATTAAGCAGTTTGATATGCATGGTTTGCAATGAATCTAATGATGGCACAGCTATAGGTTGAACAATAGGCATTATGTAAATTAAGCAGTTTAATATGCATGGTTTGCAATGAATCTAATGATAGCACAGCTATATGTTGAACAATAGGCATTATGTAAATTAAGCAGTTTAATATGCACGGTTTGCAATGAATCTAATGATAGCACAGCTATATGTTGAACAATAGGCTTTATGTAAATTAAGCAGTTTAATATGCATGGTCTGCAATGAATCTAATGATAGCACAGCTATATGTTGAACAATAGGCATTGTGTAAATTAAGCAGTTTAATATGCATCATTTGTAATGTAATACAATGGGGAGCACAACAATAGATTTAACAATAGGCATTATGTAAATTAAGCAGTTTAATATGCATCATTTGCAATGTAATACAATGGGGAGCACAACAATAGATTTAACAATAGGCATTATGTAAATTAAGCAGTTTAATATGCATGGTCTGCAATGTAATCTAATGAGAGCACAACAATAGATTGAGCAATAGGCAATATGTAAATAAAGCGGTTTAATATGCATGGTTTGCAATGTAATCTAATGGAAGCACAACAATAGATTGAGCAATCGGCAAGATGTAAATTAAGCAGTTTAATACGCATGGTCTGTAATGTAATCTAATGAGAGCACAATAGATTGAGCACTAGGCAATATG